TCTGAGATTATTCCTTCAAACTCTCTCCCTCTTTTTTAAATTATATTTTGTGCTTTCAACAACAGGTATCACTTAACCAGGTCCCTTTTTTAAAGCCTGAGGCATAACCAATGTGAATTTAGGATTATGTTGAACGATGAGGAGAGAAAAATAAAGAATTTGCATGACCTTAAACAGTGCAGGAAGAAGGCAGAGCTCAGTGACAGAGGGGCCACTTGTGCTGCAAAATGAGCAAAGCACTAAACCCAGACGATGGATGGGAGGGATGGAAAATAAAAATAAAAAAATAAAAAATAAAAAATAAAAAAATAAAAAATAAAAAATAAAAAATAAAAAATAAAAAATAAAAAATAAAAAATAAAAAATAAAAAATGCCTGCAGCAGCTCCCTGGGACAGATTTTCCATGGGAGCAAAGGGGGAAATCAGGGAGGGCTGGAGAGGGCTCCTGGGAATGGGAACAGTGCTGAAACAGGTCAGTAGATTTCAGTAATTTCAGCTGCTGTAATTTCCCCTTGGTTCATGTTACAAAAACCCCTCAGCATCTTAATGTGTGGTTTATTCCTCCTCTTGGGGAAAAAGTTAAAGCTCCACTCAAAGGAATTGATATCCCAGTTACTCCAAAGTCACTTCAAACTCAACAGAGCTGAGAACAGAAGGTAAAATTCACATTTACTGGAATTCACTGATTAAAAAACCCCAAAACCAAACCCCACGGACACGAGGCAAGCACGACACAAATTCCCAACAATGGATTTTCAATTCTGATCAAGTGCTGATGGAACAGAGACAGCCATGGGTGGCCAGAGGGGACCATCACATCCCTCTGCACTTTCTGCAGAAGGCAAGTGCTGTGTCCTAAAGGACTGCAACAAACACAGCAAGAATTCCAGGTTTAAAGGCAGCAACATCTGAAGTCTCTGAAAAGTTACTCGATAATGGGCCCAGAATTTACAGTATTTAATCAATTTTAACTGCAATGCAGCACTTCAGGGTTCACACAGAGGAATAGGCTGGCAATGAAAAATGTGCTATTTTATATGAAATAATTTGAATCACTGTGCTGGACAAAATCAAGACTATCAGTCTATTCAAGCGTGAGGAAAAAATAACCTCCTGACATTATCTTTGTGTTCTTTTCCTGCTGAACTGCTACAGATTCCAGCCAGCAAAAGTTCTCCTGCTTTTACTGCCTTGAGCCCTCCCATGACAGCCCAAACGAGAGGAGCTCACAGCAGCAGGAAAATGTGAAAGGTGCATCATAATTAAAGAGGCAAATAAAGCCATGGGAAGCTGCCCCTGCCAGGGATGCACCAACGGGACTGGAACTGCTGCAGTCCCCAAGGGGAGCAGGCAGGCACCAACCCAGCAAGCATTCAGAGATCAGCTTCAATTGAAATGTATTTAAATCTATGTCTTTATATATATATATATATATATATGTATATATATGTATATATATATACCTATGTCTTTAGATATATGTATATATTTATATATAAAATCTATGTCTTTAGATATATATTTATATTTACATATACAATTTATATACATATCTATGTATTATGTATTTATATTTACATATATATTTATATATTAAAACTGTATTCTGATATATATTTGTATTTACGTATAACGATTGTTTATATTTATAGACAAAAATGTGTATTTATATATTTAGATTTACATATGTATTTATATTTATGTATTCTAACTACATTCAGATAATCTATATTTACATATAATAATTATTTATATTTACATATAGATCTATGTGTTTATATATAAATAAAAATTCTATATTTATAATATTATATATTATATGATATATGACATATATTATATAATAATATATATAATATTAGGTTTATAAATATAAATTATATTTACACATGCATTTATATTTGTGTATTATAACTGTATTCAGATAATTTATATTTACATATAATAATTATTTATATTTATATTTATATAGATCTATGCATTTATATATTTATATTTATTTTAATTTTTTAAATATTTATATATAAAAATATATGTCTTTAGATGGATTTCCAGCTGAGCCCACAGAAAACAGATGTTTGGGAATGGGTGCCAGCACCGGGACCAGGAGCTACTTACCTCCAGTCCCCAAAGCAAGAAGTTTTTTTTTATTTTGCTGAAATAAAAGCCATTTATTTCAGCAAAATTAAGAAAAAATAAAATAAAAAAATTTAAAAAAGTTAAAAATTAAAAATTAAAAATAAAAATGAAAAAGTGTCTGCTGGGAGCACATCCTGCATGCCAGGGACCCATGAGAGGAGCACACAGGGCTCAGCTGACCCCCTGATTTTTATAAACCCATCTGGGTTGGGATGGGGCTCCCTCCCAGCCCTGCTGCAGCTGGGACAGCACAGGAGCCTCTCCTGCTGCTCCCACATCCACTTTTTGCAGCCCTTTTTTGCTTTTCTTGCAGCCCTTCCCTGCTCCTCTCCCAGCCTGCTGATCCCTGCATTAAACACAAATGAACTCATATTGCACAGGCTCTGCCTGTTTACTCTGTTTGTCATTTAATCCCCCTGGTGCTCAGACAGCCTCTAATCTTTCTGTGTGTTGCAAGAATTGAACATTTAGCCTCAAGTACAGGAAAAATTGAGGGAACAAGATGGAAAATTAATATTTCTATAATACATGGAAACACACACCGTGTTTTACAGCGCTCTGAACACTGCCTGGGAAGGAGCTGCTTCTCCAGCCTTACAAACTCAATCCTGCTTTTTAATTTAAAGGTCAAACTGTACAAGCAAGTTTCTAAGATTTCAGGTCTTGGAGGGCAAGAGGTTCTCATTTAGCACCAGCCAACAGAACAAACCCAAAACACAGGAGCACTGGTTCAGAAAACCACTGGGGTTCACCCAGCCTGACAACAGAATGTTAATGCCCAGCCCTATGGGCACCTGTCAGGATCTGATATTTTTTTAAACTGTCTACTCATGGATAAAATGAATATTTATTCATCCCTCTCTGGTTGTTTGCCAGGGAGTTATTTTAAGCTCCTTGCTTCTGGTGTAACATATTCCTCTCCCACTCCCATCCTTGCCTGCACTGTCTCTGACACTGTAGGCATCTCTCCCTGAGAAAGGAAATTAAAAAAATAAAAAAAAAAAAGGACAGCCTGCAATATTAATGGAAGAACACAGGAAGGTTAGAAAAAATGTCTTGACCTTCACAGTGTTTTACTCAATGACATAAGAGGAGTTAGAAAAGAATGCAAGCATATCTTCAGGTCAAAGCCCACATCAGCTGTTAAATTAGTCTTTTTGTACACCACAAAATGAGTTAAAATAAGGAGTTCACTCATATTTCTGTCCAAATTCACACATGTTTTACTTAGGGCAGAGGAACTCAAGCATTTCACTCTATAATACAATATCTTACACAGTTCATTTGGAGTTCAGAATAGTTTCTGCTCTTTTATACTTTTTATGGGCCAGACTTCGAAATTGCATTTCTCAGTTTGCTGTTAATATCCCCATCTCAGGCTGGAGAGTTTATTCTGTGCTCTGTGCACATGTGTCACTGCCATTAATGCAAATGGAATGGAGTCAAAACAGAGCACTGAGGGGGAAAAAGCCCTCACTAATCCTTTATCACCTCAGTGGGAAGAAAAGTGATTTGTGGAGCACAGAAAGGCAGAAATCAGGTACAACAATGCTGAGTTTTCCTGGGAGCTGCAGGATATTCCTTGGGCACTGGGAGGGAGGATAAGCTACAAAACCATGGAATGACAGAAGCCTGTCACTGCTGCCTCCAACAATTGGCTTTTTTATGGTGGGAGAAGCGGTCCATGAACTGCAGCTGCTGATTCTACCCTGGGGTCTTGCAGCACTGGGGAGGGGGATTGGGGCTGGAACTCTGCCCTGCTGCCATCCCTGGGGAACTGAGGAAGGGATTGGGGCTGGATTTACCATTTTTCTCCCCAATTTTGCTCCGGGACTGACAGAGGTGATCACAGGCTGCCCAGGGAATGCCCCTGGATCCCTGGAAGTGCCCAAGGACAGGTTGGATGGGCTTGGAGCAGTCTGGGACAGTGGAAGGTGTCCCTGCCATGGCAGGGGGTGGGACAGGATGGGTTTTAAGGTCCCTTCCATAATTTTGGTAATGGATAAAGTCTGTTGTGTTCATGTTCCCTGAGCAGCCTTTCCTGGCTGTTTGCTGCAGGTGCCTCTTAGGACAACCCAGGTGAGGAAAAAAGAGAATCAGCTCCTACAAAGACCTAACTCTGGTCCTCATTGTCTCTGTTCTTGTTTTCAGGGACCGATGTGGGCAAATGCCTCACAAGGGACTCAAAACAACCCCAAACTTGAAGAATTGTTGGGGTCCATGTGCTTCCCTACAAGGCTCAGAAAATCCCAGACTGGTTGGGGTTAGAAGGCACCTCTGGATATGTTCCAGCTATAAAAAACATGGATTAAAACTCACATTGAAACATTTAAAGCATTATCTGAGTACCACAGACACAGCTGACAAGGACAGCCTCTGACTATGATCCATCACTGCAAATGTGTGGGAGAATTAAAACTGACAGCATTAGAGCTCTTTGATTGATTTATCACTTTGTAATCAATGTTTCTTGATTTGCTATCCAATATAGATTTTTCCCCAAAGAAGAAGGAGATAGAGGGTAAGGGTAATAATCTTTATGTTCATGGCCTATAATAATTAATCAGACGCTGGACTACTCATCAGCAGGGCAAGAATTAATTCAACACATTTGTCAGCTCCTCTCATTGTTTACCAAATTATTCCTTTAAATAACTTTGTCAGATTATTCCTTTAAATATCTTGCTCAAACCACAGCTTTTCCTTTTGCAAACAACATTTGACAGAACACGAATAAACGAAGAACACGAATAAACACCCGGCACTGCTGAAACGCTGACATTCGGCCCTGGAGGAGGAATCATGAAACCAAAGAGGATTTTGAGCCCCAGAAAGCCCCAGCAGGAGTGGTTTCAGTCACCTTTGACCACCAGGCTGCCCGTGCTGCTGGCTGTCCCAAAGTGGTTGGTGGCTGTGCAGGTGTAGCTCCCCGCGTCCGCTTTGGTGACGTTGACGATGCGCAGGCTCCCGTCATCCAGGACTGTGATTCTGCAAAGACACCACGCACAGCAGCTTTATTAGATTTAGATTCCCCTTTTTCTTCCAAGCCTCCACAAACCCAAAGCTTCAGCCTGTGTTTGTTTTGATTAAGGTTGGTTTAAAAGGTACAAAATGCAAGTGGAGATCTGTACACTTCAGTGGGTCTCAAACCAAAGGCACCACTCAGGCTCCACGTTCTGCAGCAAGGAAAATCCCTGAGTATTTCTT